CCCTCCCTCCCTCCCTCCCCTCCTCCTCAGCTTCGCTATCTCATTCTTCGCTTTTCAGGTTCGCCTCCTCTGGCGCCCTCTCAACGTCTCTACTCTCTTCGCCTGCTAGTGGTGAAATTTGCTCCTCCTGCTCCTGCTCCTGCTCCTGCTCCTGCTCCTGCTCCTCCTGCTCCTGCTCCTGCTCCTGCTCCTGCTCCTGCTCCTGCTCCTGCTCCTGCTCCTGCTCCTGCTCCTGCTCCTGCTCCTTTCCTCCTCTGCCCCCCCGTCTCCCGGTCCTCTTCTCGCTCCTGCTCCTGCTCCTGCTCCCCGTCTTCGTCTCTTACATCTAACAGGCGTCAAGCGCGACTCTACCAAGACAAGTCTCTTGCCTGTGGGATCGCCCAAAGGTCCCTCCCCTCAGCTGTTCCTGCTCCAATTCTACTGCTGCTGCTGCTGCTGCTCCTCCTCCTCCTCCTCCTCCTCCACCTTCTCCTTCCCCACTGTGTCTCCGGCTCATTCCATGGCTCAGGGACTGCCCGTCAAAGAACGTCAAGAATGGGAGGAAGATGAAGAGAAGACGAGAGGAGGAGGAGGAGGAGGAAGAGGAGGAGGAGGAGCAGCAGCAGCAGTCAAGGGTAAGGGGAGTAACAAACGAATTTCCTTGCTCAACGATCTGCTCTTGTCTGGTTCTACACCGCAGGGAAGAGGGGCGAGGAGGAGGTGGACGAGGAAGAGAAAGAAAGAGAGGAAAGAAGATGCAGGGAGGGAGGGAGTGGGTGGGTGGGGGGGAGGAGGAAGGGAGGGAGGGAGGGAGGAGAAGGAGGGAGGGAGGGAGGGAGGAGAGGGAGGGAGGAGAGGGAGGGAGGAGAGGGAGGGAGGAGAGGGAAGGCACAGCGGAGGGTGGAGAGCAGAGGGAGGGAGGGAGGGAGGGAGTCAGGGAGAAGGTGAGGGGAGGGCAAGGTTGGGCAGTGGGGAGAATGTGAGTTTGTGGAGAGGTGAGTTCAAGGACAAGAGAGTCGGGTCGAGGTATCAGAGTTACACCTGCAGGTAGTCGATGCGTTCAGCGTCCACATGGAGGAGGAGGAGAAGGGGAAGGAGGAGGAGGAGGGAGAGAGGGGAACGAAAGGACGACGTTGTGTTGATCTTCATTGCTGGAGAAAGGTCAAGGGAAATGAAAGAGGGGTAGGGGGTTCCTACATACGGGTCTTTGAAAGCGTAAATGGGGTCAAAATAACGGTGGGGTATATGAAATGCCACTGCATGGGTAGGGTGAGTCAGGAAGCCATGGCAAGGAGGGCGAGAATGGGCGAGCGGGTGCTGCTGCATGTGTACGACCTGTCGCCGATGAATGCATACGCGTAATGCTGCTCCATGCTCCTGCTCCTGCTCCTGCTCCTGCTCCAGCTCCAGCTCCAGCTCCAGCTCCTCCTGCGTGCCATCTCCCCTCCCCCCCCCCCTCTCCCGCTCCTCCATGATCTCCTTCAGTCCCTCGCTCAGCTCTCTTTCTTCGTCCCCTTTCTCCCCTTCGCTCTCTCCTCTTCCCTCAAGTATCTTGTCACGCCCTGCTTTCCTCTGCTGCCACCGTCGGCCTCCTCTGTTTTCCCCTCCAGCTCATTCCTAGCTATTCATTGACCGACATGCTCAGCTACGATTTCGGGTTCGGTGCTTTTCATAGCGGGGTGGAAGTGAACAGCGTGGAGCACACGTTTGCAGGGAACGAGAGCTCATCCTCAGGCATAGTTCGCCATCCGCCCAAGCAGGTTCCCTCCGCTCGCTTCCGGATCAGCATCGACATGGGCGAGACGAACAAGTCAAGCTCGGAGATCGAAGCGGAGGTTCGATGGGAGGGAAGATTTAGAGAAACGTGACTTGGCAGTCAGCTTGCGTTCTTGGGGCAGCACTTTCAAGGGAACACGTATCATCCCGTGATGAAGAACTGTAATCACTTCTCGGATGTAACATTTGTTGTTGTTTAGTTGCTTTGTTGCTGATGGTTATTTGCAGGCGTTCTGTCAAGCTCTTGTTGGCAAGCGGATTCCTGGTTGGATCAACAGGTGAAATCTCGAGATGTTATTTGAATGCAAGGCAAGGCATCTCGTTGAGATTTGCCGTCGCAGATTGGCAAACATGGGATCATGCTTCTCGTGTCTCCTTCCCACCGGTAATAGGAGCTATGATTGAAAATTTCGAATCTAACTTTCAGTTTACAGCGAACAGGAGCTCTGATCAAGTTTGAGATGTCTTCGATTATACATCATGTTTGACGTGCATGACAAGGGCTTTCTGACGAGCCAAGCAAGTTCCTTTAGTGCCTTCAGGGGAGAGGTGAGGGAGGCGGTTGGTAGAGCTCATCTGACTTGTTCTCGTGTAGGGATTTACTCTCAGTCCAGCTCAAATTCAGATGTCGAGAAGAGAGACAACAGCTGCAGACAAAGATCCCGAAGAAAGGTTATCCCTTGCCCTTGCCCTCGCCCTCGCCCTCGCCCTCGCCCTCGCCCTCGCCCTCGCCCTCGCCCTCGCCCTCGCCCTCGCCCTCGCCACCGTCCCCCCGCCCCCGTCCTCGTCATCTCTGACGATGTTTTGCTTATCTTGATGCTTCTATCTTCTTATTTATGTTCCCCCCATTGTTTTCTTTCCACTTTCCTACTTTTTATCCTCCCTCTCTGATACTTGGTTGGTCTTTACTTGGGTTGTGGATCTTCGGCCTCTTCCCTCCTCCCTCCACTATTTAGCATAATTTTAATTAGACTTGGTAATAAAAAA